CACCCACATACTGCACTGTACACCCACATACTGTACTGTACACCCACATACTGTACTGTACACCCACATACAGTGTTGTACACCCACATACTGTACTGTACACCCACATACTGTACTGTACACCCACATACAGTGCTGTACACCCACATACTGTACTGTACACCCACATACTGTACTGTACACCCACATACTGTACTGTACACCCACATACACTGTACTGTACACCCACATACAGTGTTGTACACCCACATACTGTACTGTACACCCACATACAGTGCTGTACACCCACATACAGTGCTGTACACCCACATACTGTACACCCACATACAGTGCTGTACACCCACATACACTCCACATACAGTGCTGTGCACCACATACAGTGCTGTACACCCATAGTGCTGTACACCCACATACTGTACTGTACACCCACATACAGTGCTGTACATCACATAGTGCTGTAAACCCACATACTGCACTGTACACCCACATACTGTACTGTACACCCACATACTGTGCTGTACACCCACATACTGTACTGTACACCCACATACTGTACTGTACACCCACATACTGTACTGTACACCTACATACTATACTGTACACCCACATACAGTGTTGTACACCCACATACTGTACTGTACACCCACATACAGTGCTGTACACCCACATACAGTGCTGTACACCCACATACAGTGCTGTACACCCACATACAGTGCTGTACACCCACATACAGTGCTGTACACCCACATTGTACTGTACACCCACATAGTGCTGTACACCCACATACTGTACTGTACACCCACATACTGTACTGCACACCCACATACTGTGCTGTACACCCACATACTGTACTGTACACCCACACACTGTACTGTACACCCACATACTGTACTGCACACCCACATACTGTACTGTACACCCACATACTGTACTGCACACCCACATACTGTGCTGTACACCCACACACTGTACTGTACACCCACATACTGTACTGTGCACCCACATACTATACTGTGCACCCACATACTGTACTGTACACCCACATACAGTACTGTACACCCACATACAGTGGTACCCCGATTTACGCGGTCAATTGAACCCACAGGGTACCGCGTAACGTGAACAACAGAACATATGGGATTAATTCCAATAGAGACTGGCCCGACCCCCAAACTCCACTTTTTGACGACACAAAACTATGTTGTAGTAAGAATATTATCTTAACTTCATGATGGTATGCACACACAATTAATATAGAAGAGGTTAGGTTCGAAAAAATAAAGGTTAAGTTAGGAAAACTAAAGGTTAGGTTAGGTTTAACACTTACGTTAGTAGAAGAGATGGGTCGGCATACGGGGATGGAGGCTGGTTCCGAGGCAGAGGGCAGATTACTGGCCCACAGGTGAATCACCATCACTATCCGTCATAGTTGTCAGGGCCTCCCTGACAAATCCCTCAAAGTCACCTTCAGTGTCACTGGCTCTGGCTGGCTGTGGTGGGTTGCGGGCGAAGAAATCGGTAATGCGTTTTTGACGGCTAGTGTGGATGTTGTCTTGATACACCTTAATGTACGGCTCCATAGCCTGCACCAGCCGGGTATGGAAGACTTCATAGCGGTCATCGTCATGGTCGTTGGAAAGGAAGAGCTTCAATTTCACTGCACACTCGATGACACCCTTAACATTACTATGCGTTAACTTGTGTTCTTCTGGGGTTGACGCACCACCTGCCTCTTCTCTGACGTGATCATCTTCCAACATCTCGTCGGCAGTCATTTCTGGATCTCTGATCACCTCAAGCATGTCTTCGTTGGTGGTCTCGGAGAAGCCTTCAGCTGTAATACTGTGCGCAGCTTCTCTTGCAAGGTCCAATGCCACTGTCACAGACTGAACCTCACCAGTCACAGGTTGACTCCGCCTCTCACCTGGTATGCCATGCAACACATGCCTCCATGCATGATGAATCGTAGCTATAGACAGCTGATCCCATGCCTCCACCAAGAAGTCCACAGCTTGTTTGACGTTAAATTTTTTCCAAAACTGTTTGACGAGAACTTCTTGATTCACCACCTCTTGTTCCTTGTCCTCGTCCTCGTCGCTTTTGCTCTCACTATCGGTGTCACCCAGGTTACACAACTCATCCTTGGTGTTGGTACAGTCGTTCAGGAGCTTAAATTTCTTTACAGAGTATGCAGCTTTAACATTGCAGATCATCTCCTGGTCCATGGGCTAGATTAATGACGTAGTGTTGGGAGGAAGGAAGACCACTTTTACGTTGGGGTGGCGATCCATAAGTAGGGGCAAGTGTCCTGGTGCGTTGTCAAGGAGCAACAGAATGTTGAATGGAACATTCTGTTGCTCGCAGAATTTCTTCATGTCGGGAACAAAACAGTCATCAAACCAGGGGAGTGACAGAGCAGAGAACATCCACGCCTTACGTGCGGTCAGCCGGTGGACATTAATCTTGTTCATGTCCACGTTCTTGTAGGCGTGCGGCTTGCGGGCTGTGTGAATCACCGATAACTTGGGTTTACAGGTACCGGAGGCATTGGTGGTAAAGAGGACGGTGATGCGCTCCTTCTGCAACTTCCGGCCCCGAATCTTGCTGGCAGACTGGACAACGAAGGTCTTGGTAGGCAGCTTTTTCCAAAAGAGACAGGATTCGTCCATGTTGAACACCTGATCGTCGGTGTACTGCCCTTCCTCCATAATCTCACGTAAGAACGGAGGAAAATCCCCAGCCGCCGCATGGTCAGCACTCGCTTCTTCACCACCAATGTTGATGTTGGTGATCTTGTGCCTCTTCTTAAACCTATGCAGCCAACCAGAGGAAGCATTGAAGGGTTTGGGCTCTGCAATTCCCATCTTACGTGACACTGCTGCATACAGTTCACGGGCGTACTCTTGAACGGATCGCGTGTCCACCGCCATGTTGAGTCGTGCCTGACGAATCAAATAACTCACCAGCAAATGTTCCACCTTTACCAGCACCTTGTTCTGGCAATACTTGATCATTGAAGCACCTGCGGACTTTGTGATTCTCATGTGTTCTTTGATCTTGGCTGCATCCTTCTTAACAGTACGAATCGTAGATTCGTTGACTCCATGCTGCCGCGCGAGATCAGCTTGACGTGTTCCTTTCTCCAAATCTTGAATGATCATGTATTTCACTTCGTAGCTTAGGGAACGTCGTATCTTCTTTGGCTCAGGGCGGCTGGGTCCAGGTAAGGAAAGGTTTCTCTCTGGTGGCGGTGGTCCGGCGGAAGCCATTTTACAGAACAATGGATGCACGTATACACGGTGTGGCCTGGAGGGATGAAACTGACGCGGCTAGGTCAAGCGTCGTCTTTCCTCCCTCCCTCCCTTCCGCGGGTGGACACGTCATATTACTTTAAACCAATCACAGCTAACAGCGGAGGGAGGTAAGGATGCGTGGCCCAATCACAGTCCGATACGTCATATGACGTCACTGATAACGCAACAGAGACATGCACTGCACAACCTTACCGCGCGGCTTGCCCAGGCGGGAGGGTCGAATCTAAAAATAGCGTCGAGCCAGACACTCTGCGAGTATATGGGTAGATGCACCGCGGAAAGTGAAAGTCCGGTTCTGGCGAGGCACCGCGTAAATGAGAAATCGCGGAAAGTGAAATCGCGTAAAGCGGGGTAATACGGTACTATAGTTCTGTACATCTTCTCTTTATAAGGTTGAGAAGTTTGCTCACCCCTTCACAAGCTCTCACATACACCAAACAGTATCTTCACTGAGCAATGAGCTTCAGAATGAACACTGTGACTCTGTTGTCTCGGTAGGGTTGTCAGAATCCTTCGTCTGTTGTGTCATATTGTCTCATAACAAATCATGAGGATAGATTTTGAAGCGAGTGCACCTCAGTTTTTGTAGTGAGTGCACCTAAGTTTTTGTAGTGAGTGTACCTCAGTTTTTGTAGTGAGTGCACCTAAGTTTTTGTAGTGAGTGTACCTCAGTTTTTGTAGCAAGTGCACCTAAGTTTTTGTAGTGAGTGCACCTCAGTTTTTGTAGCAAGTGCACCTAAGTTTTTGTAGTGAGTGTACCTCAGTTTTTGTAGTGAGTGCACCTAAGTTTTGTAGCGAGTGTACCTCAGTTTTTGTTGGGATGTACACTCACAACAAAAAGTATCGGTGCATACTGTAGTGCGAACAATTTGAGACCAGTGACGATAGGTATTGGGAAAGGCGAGTTGTTGCAGCCATATGTTGGCAGCCCTGAGTTGTGGTGCAGCGTGGACGGCCGCTCCGAGACCTGTCGTCTGTAGCACCAGTTTCGAGGCATCGCCGAATCCATCGTGCAGCGGTGTTCCTGTGGACACCAACCCGCTGGCTTATCTGTGACGCCGAACCCTTCGTTATGAAGGTCAATAATAGCTCCTCGTGTTCCCTCTGAGGTTTCCATGTCGTCTGGCATGTGTAGATCTCTACTGCTTCATATTGCCTCTGTTTTATACCCACGTTCACCGAGACCGAACCCTCGCTCATCATTCAGTCGACACAAAGCAACAATCCGAAAAGAGGAAACAAACACACTGATTGTCAGCCATATGGCAACACCTAGTGGGGGGGGGGGGGTTATGAGGATACACTTACCAACCTTCCCGACATATCACAGTGTTTACGTACCGTTTTGGAAGTCGTCGATCTCACCCAGCACCGATACTTTTTGGTGCGAGTGTACCTCCCTTCAGCCACTTTAACCGAGGTATCTTTACTACCCGGGTTTCAGCATCACTTTGGGAGGTCGAGTCTGGAACTTTAGTAGTAATTTTTTTCTTTCGTACATTTTAAATCAGTGACTTTAATCCAGGTATCTTCATCACTTTTAATCTTCCTGTCCAGTACTTCATCTGTCTGCATCATAATCCCCAAACCGTGACTTCGTTCAGTGGCTCTTGTTCAAAAGTAAATAACTAAATTTTGAAACTCAATTAGTATTCAAGAGGAGAGATAGATATAAAAGTCACACAATATAATGCTCAGAAGATTTTATTATTATTATTATTAAAAAAAAAATATGATGACACTCAATATGAATGGCATAAAAAAAATATGTATCCTGAGAAGCCACAACAGAAATCCCTAAAACTGTCATAAAAAACAAAAATAACATGAAAATTTAAACCTTTAATAAAATAAGATTCCATTCACTTTATTTCGAGGGATATTGCTGAGGTGTTACACTGGGCTAGGCTTCACTCTACTAGATACTTGAAAGTTTGGTTGTCAAAATAAATCCCGACGTCCAGTGACCGCACTTCTCTTCTCTTCCTACGCACTGATATGGACCCTTCGAGAATCTCACCTGCAACAGAGACAAACTTATGTGATTGATTACATTCTCTCTACAGATGGAGGTTGTATGTAGCCCAAAATATTAAAGAAATAAAGAAATTAGCTCTGTTTCCCTCTCATACAGGAAGTTAATGATCTAACCTAAAGGACTTGATGTGGGAGAAGACAGTCTGGTAATACTGGGAGAAGGTACAGACACCAGTGGAGGGAGGGCTGTGTTGATGGTGACTCCAGATAATTGGTGTTGTACTAAGACAAGGTTTACAAGAGAGAGAGAAAGATGGAGGTCACCTGAGAATATTAGGCACCCTAGCTTATTTCACCTGATGAATAAACACCCTAACCTAACCTAACCCAACCAAACCTAATATAACCTAACCTAACCTAACCTAACTTAACCTAACACCAACCTAACCTAACTTAACCTAACACCAACCTAACTTAACTCCACAGGAAACATGAGGGTAATATACTAATCTTTGGGTCAATAAAAAAAGGTAAATTAAAAAAATAAAAACATTAAATGATTCTGGAGAGAGTAGCATTATCCTTTTCCTGAGTAGCAAATTGGTGTCTCAGAAACAGACTTTAGACATTCGGTATATACAGTACAGTACTCTGATCCACCTGAAGATGAGACACGCCGGGTTGTTTCAAATTATTTAATACAGTAATACTATTTGGAAGGGTTAGGTTAGGTTAGGTTATGTCATGTTAGTTTAATTGTCACATGGAACGAGCTAGGGTGCCTAATCTTCATGTGATTGGTTTATTCTTTATGCCCCAAGTTGGTAGACTTTTACTTCGCGGTCCTCTATTATTAGCGGATGACACCCTGGATGTACCCAAGAATGTCTGTGGGTAGTTTTAAAGTTGCTGGCATTTACGTGGTCAAGACAGGGAGCCATTCATTCTAGAGACAGTAATTTCCTTTACCTGTATTGTGAATGTGTGTGTGTGTAGACGGACACACACAAAACAAATACAAATAAATAATAATTAGAAAATACTCTCACAAATAATCAGAAAGAAATTTATAAAAAATGTGAGTCTACCCTCAAATCTGTTCTCTATTACAGTACTTTATTAATAAAGCACGGACTTGTGGGTAGACTGTAGTGGATCCCTCCCCTACAAACGCTTGTCGCTGAGTAGCCGACCCCGCGAATTCTCCAGTATATGCCTCGTGGTCTAGGTCAACCAGCGCCGCCTTACATGACGGAGGTCAACTATTAAGCCACGCCTACCTCCGCTATATAAGACCTGACCTCGTGGTCACCTACCTCTCTTTCTACCTACAGCCAGTCTCCAAGCAACACCTCCTCCTCCTCCTCCGCCACTGCCTGGCGGCCCTCGCTCCCGCCGGCGAGCATGGCGACCCACAAGCTGGTCCTCCTTTGAGCACCCTCACCAACCAGCTCTCTCTACATCACGCTTGTAACCATGCTGCCCTCCCAGCACCAAGCTGCACTGTACATCCAATACAACATGTATACAGAGAGCACATTGTGAGTTTCCTTTCTCCATCCCATCCTGAGTGTGAACCAAACAAATGTACCCCACAGACTCAACATTTATTTGTATATTTGTGTGTGTGTGTGTGTGTGTGTGTGTGTGTGTGTGTGTGTGTCTACACACACACACACACACCCATATATACAATACTACAGGTAAAAGAAATAATTGTCCTAAGGACAAACACATAAAGGGAATATACATATCTTTGTACACAAGTAAAAATGTACCCCCCCCCCCTCCGGTCATTTGCGGATTTGGCGATTCGCGGCCATTTTGAGAACCTAACCCCTGCGAATTTGGGGGCCTCCTGTACAGTGAAACTTAAAGACAATAGTTGATATTACTTCCCTCAAGTTCTCACAAACACCTCCCACACAAGACATCCCTCACTCTGTCCAGTACAAAATCTCATAAACTAACATTTTAAAAGATCAGAATCACATTGAAATATTACACGGCCATCAGCAGAGGTGGAAAATATTACAGTAATGCGAACAACTTCATATTTCCCGCCTCTGCTGACAGCTGAGCGGCCAAGCTCCCCGGTCTCTCACTCATCCACCAACTTTCCGAGGCTGTGTAATATTTCAATGAGATTCTGATCTTTTAAAATTTCAGTTTTTGCATAATGTGCTTTTACTGATACATAATTTGTCTTAGTTTGCCTTATTGTGGGTAAAAATAAGTATACAGCCATTCCTCGACTTACGACCACCCAGACATACGACCGCCTCAGTCGTACCAAAATTTTTCCAAATTACATATTTTCGAGTCCCAACGTTAGTGATTGCGCTGTGTACTGACAAAATTTTCGTTTGTATTTCACTTTAAAATGGCTGGCAAGCTTCAAAGTGAGTTTTGTGGTGCTGAGAAGAAAAAGAGACACCCATTTTAGATTTTCTATGTATTACTTTCGCATTTTCAACTTACGACCAATTTGACTTATGACCTGGAATTGGGTCCCTAAACCCGTCGTAAGTCGGGGACTGCCTGTATTCTTAAAAAGATAAATGATGCAGTAACCTTAAATGTCCACGTATGTGTTGGCGTTCCCAATCGTCTCGCTTTATTTCTTTACCATTAGTGGTTAGCTACTTCTATTGTTCCATTTATTAACACTAAATAACATTATTTAAAACATGTATTAAATTTTTTACATTAATTTTACTACAGCTACAACCAGGGTCTTATTTTCTTTAGGTTCTCGTGTAGAACTATCGTCCCGGACTCCCGGCTGTAAACACAAACGAAAACAATGGCGTCCCATCTCCTCTTGTGTGACCATATTATTATTCATTTATATTGTATAAGGACCATTCAGAAACATTATTTAAAGAATATAGTTTGGACTTTTCATTAATTGTATTGTTTTGGGGGGGAGAGGAGGGTAAAAAGCCACACAAAAGATATGAAAAGGTCACACTTGGGAACACATCTCATTATTATTGCTTTATTTTAATGGTCATTAATGAGTCGCGATACAATGATTCACCTTACACTGCAATATTGGAGGACACATTACCGTCGTTATTCGAGGCCTTACTGTACCAAATACAGTTTATACCACAATTCACAAATACAGTTACACCACATTACCACATAACAACTAGAGATACCAAAAGTGTTTTACCGCCAACCACAGAAAACATCACTAAATTTTCAATCTGTAGACTTTGTGGATAAATAATTGAGTTTGTTAGTCCATTCTCTAGTACCTTTCAGTGATGAGACCAGGCACATAGGTCACCCTTCATGAATCACCTGAAGATTAACCCCCAAGAGCTCAACTGAAGTCTTACCCCCACCCTCCCTAGTGTAACCAGCCTGAAACTATATAAGGGTGATAATCTGGTGATGCATAAAGGTTAAAATTGTTAATAGAGTCTACTAGGTCACTTGTGTTAGGTGAAGAGTGGTTCAGTAACAAGAAACAAGTACTGTACTGTACAATATAATAGATCATGAGAGTACGTACCTTTTTTAATAGCACGAGGTTCAGGCAGGTAAAATACCGTCTGCTTCCAGTGTGTGGGCGTGGAGTGCGGACCAGTGGAGAAGAAAACGGCACTCGGCATGTCAAAGTAAGTGTCGAAATAGCCAACCAATCCCGTGAGCCGACCGTCTCTCTCTACAGTGAGGGAAAATCTCGACGTAAACTCCGTGTCTCTTGAAGTGATTTTCATGAGGTCAAAGTCGGCAATCTGGTCTGGAGGAAAAGGTATAATAATGAACGGATTTACATAAGAAGATTAACAGTAAACTGTGTCTCCGTATAAATCTATTTTTAACGTAAAACGCCGTGTGGTTACTTAGAGAGTTGTAAAAAGTACTGGACTTTGTTACTTAAGTAAAAGTACAGTGACCCCTCCGTTAACGAACTCAATCCGTTCCAGAAGGTCGTTCGTTAACCGAAAAGTTCGTTAACCGAAACCATTGTTTCAATGGGTTTTTGGGTAATTGGTTCCAGCTCACCGAAAATTTCCTAAATTCAACAAAAATGGTAGAAAAGTTCACTTACTTTGAGTTGTGTATGTAGAAGGCTCCTGGATGATGATGATGATGATGGGATTTAGAATGGGGGTGGAGGAGAAGGAAGAAGAGAAGGCATTGGGGTGGAAGAGAAGTCACCCCATGGCGCCATTTCACCCATAAAATTTTAGCTCTCTTGGTGTAATTCAAGATTATTTTCTTTAAATCAACACTGCACTGCATTATATATTGTCAATATGTAAAATATATTTCAAAATGACCAATAATTTGCTTGGAAACACAGAAAAAAGCGTTTAGTTGAAGAGAGTCTCAAGCAAGATGTTACCTCCAGTGAAAACAGAGAGACTAACGCCTGTCTGGTGTGTTAACAGGCTGGATGGCACGCCAGAAACTAGTCACTTTACCTTCAACTATGTTCAATAATTGTTAAAATGACTAAAAAATTGAATATTAAACTTTTAAAATTATTGAATAGTATAAACTTCTTGATATTTACTAAAATAGTAAGGAATTTAAGCCCTGGAACCGATTAATGTATTGGCGGACTGATACTAAAGCTGGTTGCCCGGTCAGTGCAAGCGAAAACATGTTGAGGTCGGTTCGTAAGAACTTCGTTAACCGAATTTTTTTTCGTTAACCGAATTGAAGATCCTTATGGAAGGCAGTTCGTTAATCGAAATTACGTTAACCGAGGTGTTCGTTAAACGAGGGGTCACTGTATTGTTACATTGACAAAATGTTTCTCAAGTAGAAGTACAAAAGTATCTCATTCATAAAGTACTAAAGTATTGAAAGTAAAAAGTAACACAAAATTATTAACTGTCTCAAATAATAAAATAAATCTACATTAAATTATAAAAAATAGTTAACTAAAGATAAAAATAAAGGACATATTATTACACATGTTTATTTCCAAATCTTTCTATTGATATTTATCAATAACTGATTCTCGAAATTATGGCTGTCCAATCAAGATCTTTTAGGCCTAAGTAAAACTAGAGGCGTTGTTAGCCACACAAAGCATCAGGGGCTTTAACCCTCCACTCCCCACAAACTCCTGCTAGCTCATCATGACTCACTCTTTATGTTAACTCTAATAACAGCTTAATACACACATTTATTTTCACATTTTATACAGCATGACTTTATACAGCATGTATGGAAACTATTACAAAGTTCAAATGATAAATGGACAACATTAGGGAATCGTTAGGTTAATACATAAATGATCATCAATTACAAAATTACTCTTGGGCAGAACACTCAGAACATGGTCAGATCCAGCTAGTGTCATATAGGTCTCTCACTCTGGTTAACAATTCCTTAGAGGCTAAATGATGGGAGCATTACTTCATAACGTCTGTCGTTGAGTCGTCCAAATGTGTTATTATTTCATTGTGTCTGACATTCTCCAGCATTTCCTTTTTAATAGATAAGACAGCCAGGTGATGCAGTCTCCTTTGCCCCAGTGTTCGTCATAGTCAGGTGTACAGATGCCTACTGAAAGCTCTCTTGCAACTCCAGCTGCTGACTGGCACTGTCAGGGTAACTTGTAATATTTCATTAAGTGATGGAAACATATCAGGGTCTAATAAGGCTGGCATTACCAGCCCCTTTTCTGCGGGCTAAATAATGTTTCGCTACTGTTAGTTCCTCAGATTTTAACTCCATGTTATAATGACTGGCAATGACTGTGAGGCACTGCTTGGACAAAAACATTTCAGCAGTAGGGCTGCTTGCCCGAATTCCTCTTAACAGATCAGCATTTATACTCGAAAACCGATGATGAATCTCATTTATCATCTGGCCCACACATGGCTAATATAACTTTCCCGAACATTTTCTATAAGATAGTTGTTGTGAGGATAAACACAACAGCTGAAAAGTTCAGTTACATATAGAATAAGGTTGAATGGACGGTGTTTCTTGGTATTCATAATTTACAGCTACCAGAGCGGAAATGGAAAAAGTGTTTTCCAGCTTTTTTCAGTAATAAGATATGACATAAATCTTTATTTTGGTATCAGGAAAAAAGAAGCCCTGGAAGCCCGAGTTTAACGACGCCACTAAATATAAGTCCAGCGTGACCTACCGAAAGAGAATACATCCACCCGCTCTTCTCCCTACAATCCATCACAGGGATGGTCAACAGGCTGAGAATATAACCATCCAACACTATGATCACTTTCTTCCTTATCCACACAAGTATCATCAACGTGGTCTTATGGTCCACAGATACAATGTTGTCTCTGCTGGCATTAGGTTAGGATACAGACCTATCTGGCAAGTATCTGAGGCAGGGGATGACCTACACTTCTCTTCCTGTAAACTGTGTAACTGTCCCAACACTAACACCCTTCAACACTACTGTACTGTCTTGACTGTCCCACTGTCAGGGACCTCCTACCACAGGGAAGAGTCACTAACCACTACATGTCACCACCTATTTATTCATAATAATTTAGATTTAATTCTTGTACACTACCCACACTTTGGTGGTGCTAACTCTCACAGTCCTCAAATCATATCAATATTGTCTCCATATCACAAGTCACAGTGTGTCCTGCGAGACACAAGTATCAATGTATTAGTGTCTGACCACATGGTCTTGTGACAAGGATTGTTGCCCCCTGGGGTGTAATAAATTAATTAAATAATAAATAATAAGGCCAGCATGACTCAGCAGCTGCAGGTAGTGGGGTGTTAAGCTTGAGAGATAAGTCACATAATGTTGGGAAAGACCTCAGTAGCTCCATTCCATCCCCTGGGCATGACAAGTAGCTATCAAGCTCCTTCAGTTGAGTTTGTGGATGATTGTTGCCTCTGTAGTGACCGAGTCTGACTAAGACTCCCTGTGAACCGTCCCTCTAACTGTGGCTGTGGTCACGTCACTCTTGGATTCTAATTGATGATTGGCTGAATTTTTCTCACTATTTAACATCTGGCAGGTGTTGGGGGGTGTAGGTATATGTGAAGAGCAACTGACATCTAACAGGAAGACCAAGTCCCTGGGGGAGAAGAGAGGGGAGGAGGGGAGGCCGGGTGGTCAAGGTGCTAATGGACACAAGAAGATCAAGAGAAAGTCCGCCGTCATGGCCGCCTGACCTGACCTTACGTCACCTCTAGGTATGTGACCGCGTGGTGTCTCCCACACTGTACCCCTCACAGCTCCACCCACACAACTCTTGGACTATGGTTAATAATTAATTTAAATATATTATTAGTTTGCCACAAACATTAAAACTTTTTGTTTGGGTCATGTAATGAGTAATGATTTTTGTTTTTCAATTATTGGGATAAAGAAAGCCACACTCAAGTAAAAGTACTAAAAAATTTGAGTACAGTCGTTTGTGCTACAACGCGATAGTTGCGTTCTTTTAAAACTTCGCGTTGTAGAAATTCGCGCAATAAATATAACGGCATATGGAGAAAATAGGGTTAGGTGCATATTACTTTGGCTGTGATATCACAGATTTGCTATCACTCAAGCTTGTTCCAGCAATAGTGTTACAGCCTTTCTTTTACATTCACCACCTTCTTCCCTCTTCTTTCCATATTCACGGCTAACACAACAACTTGGAGAAAACAGCGAAAATCACGGAGGACACTTCACCTGATGTAAACAGTGAGCGCTGGTGTAAACCGTTATTAGTCCTCGGTGCCAAACATTCTTTTTAACAATTATTTCCATAAAGTATTTATGTAACAGATAAATTTGCAAAAAAAAACACTTCACAAACAAAAGACACGACTCAATTGAACATGTGATGTCGAACGTGAACTGTAAACATTGCATAACCCCGCACCATTGAGGATGGAATCGTGCTATAGCCAACATTCGTATGCAAAAGTTCGCGTTTCACAAACAGCGTTCCCCTATTCATCAATCGCGTTACAACCAACTCAACACACATTGTAGCAGAAATGACTGTACAGTACTCTTTAAAAAATACCCCAAATGTTACCTGACTACAGAACTCAAGTCAATTTATTTAGTCACTTCATAACTCTGGTTACTTATGAGCCAAAAGTAAAGCCGTTACATTAACAAAAGTGATCCAGTTGATTACGAATTTACCTAATGACAACTACAGGTACTTGATGGAGTTAACAATGAAACAAAACTAACAAACAAACCCACACACTGTATCATCACCTCGGTCACCACAACACACTATCACCACACAACCATCACCTCGGTCACCACAACACACTGTATCATCACCACACAACCATCACCTCGGCCACCACAACACACTGTATCACCACACAACCATCACCTCGGCCACCACAACACACTGTACACATCACCACACAACCATCACCTCGGTCACCACAACACACTGTACACACACACACAACCATCACCTCGGTCACCACAACACACTGTATCATCACCACACAACCATCACCTCGCCACCACAACACACTGTATCACCACACAACCATCACCTCGGCCACCACAACACACTGTACACATCACCACACAACCATCACCTCGGTCACCACAACACACTGTACACATCACTATTAAACACTCAGTAGCCATAGTAGGCAGCTACCAAACAGGGAGGAAGATATTGGAAGCATAATGTGTTGTCTAATGGTAGACCCTGCTGCCATATGTGACCAAGTCCCAGGTTGATGATCTGACTTTCTGCCTCATTTACACACAATTGCAGGGTCTCAATTGTTTCTCTTCCTATTGACAACACAACATACATATATTGTTTCTCACTATTGATCTTTATTATTATTATAATGTAATTTATTTTTAATTTTGTATTTTTTTAACATTTATTATGATTTTGTAAAATTATTATTATCATTATTATTGTTATTATTAATACATTTTTCGCCCCAGGCCCTGACGTGGGTCAGTGCCCTGTGCCCGGGTGGGTTAATACACGGAAAAAAGTAATAATACGTAATAATAAAAATAATATAAATAAAAAAGTTAAAAATAAATAAAATAAATAAAAATTTAAAATACACTGAATCTTACCGTCTATTTCTCTTACAAAATCTCCCCACTGTAAATATTCTACTATCTATAACTGGTTTTATAAACAAGAAGATACAGTAAAGTACAGTATTTGTTGCTGTAACCCTCCTCACTGTATCCCAACTCTTAAACCCACACCACTACTTGTTACTGTGGCACTCTCTCCTCAGCTGCCTAAATCAACAACATAGTGAGAACTCTATTTAATGGACTATAAAGAGAAGAAAGTCCATTATATCGAGGGTCCATTATATATGAAACCCCCATACAATGAACTATAAGAGAGGAAAGTTCAATATATCGAGGGTCCAGTATATATGAAACCCCCATACAATGAACTATAAGAGAGGAAAGTCCATTATATCGAGGGTCCATTATATATGAAACCTCCATCAAACAGATAACAAGGAGAAAGAGGTTCATTATATGGAGGTTTCACAGTAAGTCACATTTACTTTACCTGCTGAAGTAATAATACATTCTTCCTTCACTATATCTGTGGTGGCTTCCTTGATTACCTCCTTCTGCATACACGACATCTTGAACCCGTACACGTCATCCCAGAAGGCTACCAGCTTACTGTATGTACCTGAAACCACACACAAACTCATCAGCCACAAGAATCTAAATAAATAACGAAAATAACTGAATAACTAACTAACTAAACAAGATAAAAACAATAAATATTACCCATTATTTAGGTTTTATAAATATATAATTCTAAAATATTATCAAAATTTAAGAGAAAAAAATTGAAAAGAATTGGTGCCGTATCACTACATGTTAAAATGGTGACAAGATTCTGGAGAGGAGACAAGAATGGTGAAGGGGTCAGTTATTATGGTAAACATTGTGGTGTTTATATGGTGAAGGGGTCAGTTATTATGGTAAACATTGTGGTGTTTATATGGTGAAGGGGTGAGTTATTATGGTAAACATTGTGGTGTTTATATGGAAGGAGTGAGTTATTATGGTAAACATTGTGGTGTTTATATGGTAGTGAGTATTAACTTGGTGTTTATATGGTGAAGGGTGAGTTATTATGGTAAACATTGTGGTGTTATATGGTGAAGGTGAGTTATTATGGTAAACATTGTGGTGTTATATGGTGAAGGGGTGAGTTATTATGGTAAACATTGTGGTGTTATATGGTGAAGGGTGAGTTATTATGTAAACATTGTGGTGTTATATGGTGAAGGGTGAGTTATTATGGTAAACATTGTGGTGTTTATATGGTGAAGGGGTGAGTTATTATGGTAAACATTGTGGTGTTTATATGGTGAAGGGTGAGTTTATATAAACATTGTGGTGTTTATAGGGAAGGCGAGTTATTATGGTAAACATTGTGGTGTTTATATGGTGAAGGGTGAGTTATTATGGTAAACATTGTGGTGTTTATATGGTGAAGGGGTGAGTTATTATGGTAAACATTGTGGTGTTTATATGGTGAAGGGGTGAGTTATTAGGAAAAACATTGTGGTGTTTATATGGTGAAGGAGTGAGTTATTATGGTAAACATTGTGGTGTTTATATGGTGAAGGGGTGAGTTATTATGGTAAACATTGTGGTGTTTATATGGTGAAGGTGAGTTATGGTAAACATTGTGGTGTTTATATGGTGAAGGAGTGAGTTATTATGGTAAACATTGTGGTGTTTATATGGTGAAGGAGGAGTTATTATGGTAAACATTATGGGATATGGTGAAGGGTGAGTTATTATGGTAAACATTGTGGTGTTTATATGGTGAAGGGTGAGTTATTATGGTAAAACATTGTGGTGTTTATATGGTGAAGGAGTGAGTTATTATGGTAAACATTGGGTGTTTATATGGTGAAGGGGTGAGTTATTATGGTAAACAGTGGTGTTTATGGTGAAAAAGGGAGTTATTATGTAAACATTGTGGTTTATAGGTGAAGGAGTGAGTTATTATGGTAAACATTGTGGTGTTTATATGGTGAAGGGGTGAGTTATTATGGTAAACATTGTGGAAGGTGAAGGAAAACATTGGTGTTATATGGTGAAGGGTGAGTTATTATGGTAAACATTGTGTGTTTATATGGTGAAGGACTGAGTTATTATGGTAAACATTGTGGTGTTATATGGTGAAGGAGTGAGTTATTATGGTAAACATTGTGGTGTTTATATGGTGAAGGGTGAGTTATTATGGTAAACATTGTGGTGTTATATGGTGAAGGAGTGAGTTATTATGGTAAACATTGTGGTGTTTATATGGTGAAGGGGTGAGTTATTATGGTAAACATTGTGGTGTTTATATGGTGAAGGGGTGAGTTATTATGGTAAACATTAAACAATGTGGTGTTATAGGTGAAGGAGTGAGTTATTGAAACATTGTGGTGTTTATATGGTGAAGGAGTGAGTTATTATGGAAACATTTGTTTATAGAAGGGTTATTATGGTAAACATGTGGTGTTTATATGGTGAAAGAGTTATTATGGTAAACATTGTGGTGTTATATGGTGAAGGGTGAGTTATTATGGTAAACAATGGTGTTATATGGTGAAGGAGTGAGTTATTATGGTAAACATTGTGGTGTTTATATGGTGAAGGGGTGAGTTATTATGGTAAAATTGTGTGTTTATATGGTGAAGGGGTGAGTTATTATGGTAAACATTGTGGTGTTATATGGTGAAGGATGAGTTATTATGGTAAACATTGTGGTGTTTAATAGGAGTGAGTTATTTGTACATTTGTGTTATATGGTGAAGGTGAGTTGTAAACATTGTGTTATATGTGAAGATGAGTTATTATGTAAACAAAAAGGAGGAGTTATTATAACATTGTGCATATAAGGGAGTTATTATGGAAGTGTTTATATGGTGAAGGAGTGAGTTATTATGGTAAACATTGTGGTGTTTATATGGTGAAGGAGTGAGTTATGGTAAACATTGGTGTTCATATGGTGAAGAGGAGTTATTTGGAAACATTGTGGTGTCATATGGTGAAGGAGTGAGTTATTATGGTAAACATTGTGGTGTTCATGGTGAAGGAGTGAGTTATTATGGTAAACATTGTGGTGTTCATATGGTGAAGGGTGAGTTATTATGGTAAACATTGTGGTGTTTATATGGTGAAGGAGTGAGTTATTATGGTAAAACATTGTGGTGTTCATATGGTGAAGGAGTGAGTTATTATGGTAAACATTGTGGTGTTCATATGGTGAAGGAGTGAGTTATTATGGTAAACATTGTGGTGTTCATATGGTGAAGAGAGTTATTATGGTAAAACATTGTGGTGTTCATATGGTGAAGGAGTGAGTTATTATGGTAAACATTTGGTGTTATATGGTGAAGGAGTGAGTTATTATGGTAAACATTGTGGTGTTCATATGGTGAAGGACTGAGTTATTATGGTAAAACATTGTGGTGTTCATATGGTGGAGTTATCATGTTTAGGTAAGGAGTGAGTTATTATGGTAAACATTGTGGTGTTCATATGGTGAAGGAGTGAGTTATTATGGTAAACATTGTGGTGTTATATGGTGAAGAGTGAGTTTATGGTAAACATTGTGGTGTTCATATGGTGAAGGAGTGAGTTATTATGGTAAACATTGTGGTGTTCATATGGTGAAGGAGTGAGTTATATGGTAAACATTGTGGTGTTCATATGGTGAAGGAGTGGTTATTATGGTAAACATTGTGGTGTCTATATGGTGAAGGACTGAGTTATTATGGTAAACATTGTGGTGTTCATATGGTGAAGGAGTGAGTTATTATGGTAAACATTGTGGTGTTCATATGGTGAAGGACTGAGTTATTATGGTAAACATGGTGTTTATATGGTGAAGGAGGAGTTATTATGGTAAAACATTGTGGTGTTCATATGGTGAAGGACTGAGTTATTATGGTAAACATTGTGGTGTTCATATGGTGAAGGAGGAGTTATTATGGTAAACATTGTGGTGTTATATGGTGAAGGAGTGAGTTATTATGGTAAACATTGTGGTGTTCATATGGTGAAGGGGGTGAGTTATTATGGTAAACATTGTGGTGTTATATGGTGAAGGAGTGAGTTATGTGCCACCAAACAGTGAAGTGAAGAGTTACAAACAAACAATAACAGAATTATGGAAACTATTCAGAGATGTCAAGAAGAGCACAATGGAGAAAGAGGAAGTGTGAAGAGGATATAAATAAATGAAGGAACGGAAGCCTTGGTAGATGATTGGTGGGTGTGTGTGTGTGTGTGTGTGTGTGTGTGTGTGTGTGTGTGTGTGTGTGTGTGTGTGTGTGTGTGTGTGTGTGTGTGTGTGTGTGTGTGTGTGTTACAATATAGTATGGAACTAGAGTATAATATATTAGAAACTCATTGTTTATAGAAATATATATATATCTTTACACAAGACACCATTCACGTGGTCGATACCGAGACTCAGATCTTTCATAAGTTTAGCCTTTATGGTATGGATCACCTGAAGATTAGCACCCCCCAACCCCAGAGAGTTAAACTTCAGTCTGGTTGAGGTGAGGGCAACTCTTGGGGGCTAAACCTGAGCCATAGAGGTCTAGTGTCAGTCAGGACTACACCACATTCTTAGGTGTAATATGACCACATCTAATACAGTGAGCTTACTCATGTCCTCCATCCCTACGAGGTGCATCGTACATCTGTTGGGGAGCAGTAGACCTCCCTCAACCAGGTGTTTATCGCGGGCGTAGAGCACAGAGTCCAACATGCCCTCAAACAGAAGGAAGTAGCCCATCCATTCAGAAACAATGAAGTCAAACTTGTGGTCAAACTGCAAGTCCTCCAGTCTGCCTTTATGTAACGTGATGGCCTCATCCAGCCGGTTCTCTCTGTGTGTATGTGTACTAATGATGATACGATTCATTATATTAAACATAATAATTATATTTAAGATATAGTCCATAAATTATCTAAAGTTTGTTATTAAATACTGTATTACCTATATAATATAACCCTATCTATATACAGTGGATAAATCAACACACCCAGCAAATACTGACAGAACAAAAGACGACTACTGCCGCTTAATCAATTATTATGGAGAGTAACGTCTGTTTTGAGGAGTTAATTGTTTAAGCTCATCAACAAAAAGATGAAATCAAGAAAGAGAATAAAACTAATAAAGACTAACTTGACAATATCTAGAGCCTGGTAGATGACCTCTGACATGTCTACACCTGTGACCACAGCTCCAGCCCTGGCACTGAACATGGACAAGATGGCCGTCCCACATCCAAGATCCAACACTCTCTTGCCACACAGAAGAGCTGAATTGTTCAAAATAGCATCCCTGTATGATTCAGTTCTTACTTGATCCTGTGGAGCAAAAAAAAGATCATCATCATCATTTTACAGCCATTTCCCATGTCTGTGTGGGTTCGTCGGCAGCTCTCCATACTGTGTGGTCTCTTTCATCATGTGTAATATTTTTCTCAACTTCTTCCCAATGTCCTTGGCCTGCCCCTGGCTCTCCTCCCCTGCACATTTACTCATGTTCCTCTTGACTCAATTCCCTCCAGATGAACAAACTATCTCAGGCTGCCTCTAAGTGATAAACTATTTGGTTCAAAGATAAATATGTGTGTGAGTCCTGACCTGAGTACAGTCGTGGTCTTGGCTCCCACAACTTTGGGTCATGTTAAGACAAGAGTTTGTTGGCCAATCACCCTGTAAAATTCCATAACAATTCACGATCTATTAAGACTCTACAGACTGACTACATCTTGAGGTAAAAGTTAACAATAGTCTTAATACCTCACCTTGAGATATACTGTGCCAGGGACTACCTTCTACGGCGCATCACACGCTCTTGTCTGGCTGCACTTACGCCTGCCCGCTGCTGCCCTCACTTGAACGCCACAGCCGCCCCAAGCAACGCCGAGCCAGTCTTTGTTCCGACTTCACATCATTTGTGTGTGATTAAGCGCTTTTGCTCTAAAACTGAACTATAACCATTCGAAATGGCTTCCAAGCGCCATCAAGTGCTACTAATGCTAGTGTAGTGAAGAGGCAACATTAGACCGTTACCCTGGCTACGAAAATGGATGTATTAGCCTGTTTTGAAAAAGGGGAACGTAAGTGAACATAGCCACTGTGCTTGGTCTAACCCACACAACAGTGCGTACTATCAAGACCAACGCTGACAAGGTTAAGGTTAGTGCTGGAAGTGGTACACCTCTGAGTGCAACAAAGACAAACCGTACTAGATGCTGGCAATGGAGGACCAGAATCAACGCAATGCCCCTGTGAGCCTTATGGTTATCCAGCATAAGGCCAGATCCTTGTTTGACGACTTAAAGGCAGAAGAGGGTGAAGGATCGAAGGAAGAGACCTTAACGGCCAGCCAAGGATGGGGCAGCAGAGGGTGAAGGATCAAGGAAGAGACCTTACGTGCGCGGCTGGGCAGCAGAGGGTGAAGGATCAAGGAAGAGACCTTTACGCCAGCCAAGGATGGGGCAGAAGAGGGTGAAGGGAAGGAAGAGACTTTACGGCCAGCCAAGGATGGGGCAGCAGAGGGTGAAGGATCGAAGCAGGGCTGTGGAGTCGAAGACAAACTTTCGACCGACTCCGACTTCTCAAATTTTATGCCCGACCGAATCCGACTCCTTGGCCTATTTGTAACAACTATTTCTACCATCCTAATTGTAATTTGTATGTTGTAACTCGTGAGGTAAAAGTAAACACCGTGGCTATACTGCTACAGCTTTATTAATGATCTGGACGATATTTAAGAACTACAAAAAGATGATAGGCTTGACTTTCAAAGTTTCAATCAAAAGAAAAATAAATTTATTAAGAATTCAAGATATTAACTAGAAAACACCATTTACATGTATATCTAAAAGTTCGATCTCAGCATATGAATTTTGTTTAAGCTCATAATCTGATGTGGATCTAAATGATGATCCTACAATTTTTAAAGTAAAGTTATATATTTATGTACATTAAAGAAATGAATACCTTATTAAGGAAAATGGATAAACCTTACATGATTAAGTTATTAAATTAAATTTGCCTTAATCTCACCAAAACAGGTTGTAGCTAATTGTTTTGTAGCTGAGAGCCTCTGTAGTTTTCAACGAAACAAAATTTGATATAATTCAAAATTTCAAATGGTAAAGAAGAGACTATCGTCCAAAAATTATAGTGCTATACTGGCCTGCTACAATAAATTCATAATAATGCTTATAAAATGGAAATAAATTCTTTTAATAATTTAAGAAATTAGGTGGATCAGTGGAATCACTGCAATGAATATGCCTGAGTTCATATATTTGTTCTTAGGAACAGAATAGCTTCAGTCAGATCTTCCTTCATGGAAGCCCTTAAATCTGATCTGATTATTTTCAGTGCAGAAAACAGTCTTCTACACTGACCTGAGGGGTGGCATTGCTGTCACAGCTCTAGCTACATCTTACACTCTGGGTAAGCAGGTATGGCTTCTTCCACTGTCACTTTTGAAGACCGGTCAAATTTCTCCACTTCCATCAGTGCACCAAAGAAATCTTGCTGAAATCCGATTTTTAATGTCCACTGCTGCTGCTTTCATCCGATGTCGCTTACCTTTGCTTGTTCTATTGTGTCCAAGTAGGAATCAAAGTCTATTTCCTTGTTTGAAGATGCTGAATCTGAATCTGAGCTACTTGACTTGTCAATGTTTCTAACTTGTTCAGGTTCATGAATTTCAGTTTGTGACTTTCTTTTTATACTATTTCATATAGTGCCTCTTTTTCCTTACTAGTTCGATCATTGTCCAACAAAATTCTATTCATGGGATCAAGGTAAACAGCAGCTAACAAGATTTTGTTATCCAGCTTCAAAACAATTAGCTGGAGTCGGAGTCTGGACAATTTTACCGACTCCGACCATTGCCGAAATTTCCTCCGACTCCGACTCCACAGCCCTGGATCGGGGAAGAGACCTTTACGGCCAGCCAAGGCTGGGGCAGCAGAGGGTGAAGGATCGAAGGAAGAGACCTTTACGGCCAGCCGGGGATGGGGCAGCAGAGGGTGAAGGATCGAAGGAAGAGACCTTTACGGCCAGCCAAGGCTGGGGCAGCAGAGGGTGAAGGATCGAAGGAAGAGACCTTTACGGCCAGCCAAGGATGGGGCAGAAGAGGGTGAAGGATCGAAGGAAGAGACCTTTACGGCCAGCCGGGGATGGTTTCAACGATGAAGTGTCGTTATAACTTCCACAACATAAAGATGATTGGTGAAGCTGCCAAGACATTCCCGCCAGAACTCTAATGGATTATCCAGCAAGGAGGCTACTCACCGAAGCAAGTCTTCAATGTAAATGAGACTGGTCTGTTTTGGAGGAGGATGCCTGAGAGGACCTATATCTCCAGGGAGGAGAAAAAGAGCCAGGTTTTAAAGCGCAAAACACCGCTGACGCCTGCTGCTTGGTGCGTAACGTCTGACTTCAAGTTGAAGCCCTGCTGACTACTAACCCACAGGCCCTGAAAGCTTTAAGGATCACCTTCCTGTGATCTACAAGGCAAATAAGAAGGCCTGGATAACCAGCCGCTATTTAGCCATTGGTTGAATGTGTACGCCGCCCCTGCACTGAAGGAATACTGTGCCAAGGAGAACCTGACTCAAAATTCTTCTGATCCTTGACAATGCTCCAGCTCATCCTCCCAATCTTGACGACTTGCATGACAGTGTAAAAGTTGTATTCCTGCTTCCCAACACGACAGCACTGATGCAGCCTATGGACCAAGGCGTCATCGCCGCATTCAAGGTGTATTATTTACGCCGTACCATGGACCAGCTGCTCAAGGCTACAGGGACGGGAAAATAAACCCACGATCTGAAAATATTGGCGCGGCTTCAACATTCTTCATGTAATTGACAACATTGGCAAGGCATGGGAAGAGGTTTCAGAAAGTTGCCTGAATGGTGTGTGGCATAATCTGTGGCTTGAGTGTGTCAACAGGTTTCAGGGTTCACGGACTTAGTCCCTGCAGTGAATAGGGATATCCTCAGCTTGGCTAAACAGGCAGGCTTTGATGAGCTGGAATCAGAGGATATTGAGCAAGTCCTGGCATCCTATACAGTAGAGCTCACCAACGAAGATCTGCAACTGTTAACAGAACACAGTCCCGTTGAAGACATCGTCGACGACGATGAAGAACCTCAACAAACGCTAACTACCAAGAGGATGGCAGAAGTGTTCAACAGGATCCAGCAAGGAATGCAAATGCTTCTAGATGTCGACCCAAACAGAGAACGTAGCTCAAAGGTTCATTGATGACAGTCTTGGTTGTTACACTGAGATGTATAAGGAGAAGAAGAAGAGTAGCACCAAGCTGTCAACACTGGATTAATTTGTTCGTCACGACCGACAGGAGCAGCTTCTTCACAACAGCTGGCAGCCGAGGAGGAACAACCAGCAGCCGAGGAGGAGCACACAGCAGCAGAGGAGGAGCAACCAGTGGCGGAGGAACCCCAGTCAGAGCAGGAGGAGGAGGAGGCAGCCACAGTCTCAGTGACTCACCACCCTCCTCCTCCTCCTCTCCCACCTCCTCCTCCCCTCCCACCTCCACTACCCACCACACACTCGCTCTACCACCTCCGCCCATCAGTGAGTACCAATACAAACTTAGTAGTTGTATATGTATGCATTATTTTCTATATAAATGGCAATGATTTTCTGTATATGTAATGTATTTCATGGGTCAAAGGGAGGCTGGGGAACGTAACTCACGTATTCTATCTATTTCTTATGGGGAAAATTAATCCACTTAACGTTTTCATGAACATAACCCCGACGTTAAGTGAGGACTTACTGTATCTCATAAATGTATCCAATTATGTATTATGAAACTAATGATAAATTCCTCCACTTGGTTAATATTAAAAAGTTTATATAATAATTAACTGGTGATTAGGGAAGGAAATCTATGTATAATGACAAAATTTAGTTCTGGTAATGACAGTAGTTATGTTGACGGGTGAACAGCTGCTCTCGACTGACGACGGGGTTAGGGACCCAAATCCAGGTCGTAAGTCCGAATATATAGATAAAAAATTAAATTTTTTTTTAAATAAAAAATCTACAATGAAATACAGTATAGTAAAAGTAATAAATAATGAGGAATGGATACAGTGTGACTGAGCACTTACCTTTAATGTAGTCAGCTGAATGCACATGGGGGCCCCCATAATTTTCTATTTATACATGGAGATTACATTAACTGGAAACGTTTCGGTATAGAAAATGTGTGTCATTTGAAGAAAAAAAAAATTTGAAAAAAAAAAAGAAAAAAAGGTCACAACTCGGGCGGTCGTAAGTCCAAGCAGTCGTAAGTCGGGGACTACCTGTATATTATGACCAACCAATCCTGTCTTAATCACCTTCATCATTAGTACCTCTGACCAAACACACCTGTATGATAAGTCTCTGTTTACCTTCAACCTTTTTATATTTTAATTCAAAATTCCCAGACACATGAGGTATGAGGTAGAGGCTATTACACGACAGGTACAACAGACCAAGAAATTGTCACAAGCAGAGGTTAACTAAGGCACAGTGTGAAACTGGTACGAGGACTTACATCTGACCAACATTAGCCACCACAGTTTATTTCACCTGAAGATTAACCATCCTAACACTTATCTAACCTAATCTAACCTAACCTAACACTTACCTAACCTAACTCAAGGTAGCATAAAGGTGTCCAATCATCAAGTGAAATAAGGGGGGGGGGTAGGGGCTAACCTCCAGGTGATACAATGACTTTAACAGAGTCACCATAGAAGTTAACAACAGTTCATTGTCATTACAGTAAAGATATGGATGACTAAAGCCACATTGAGGCTCATTTATCACAACAGCCAGAAATCAAGTCCACTGTCAGTCTATGGAGAAGTTTTACACGTCAATTCTAAAGCCGGAGACGACCCCTTACCGAGAGCATTTCGTGGTGGATGTCGAAGTGGGCGTAGGAGTTGAAGTACCCCTCGTCGTCCTCGGGCCTCATGTCCCCTACTGTTTTTACCAAGACATCGTCGTTCTGAAAAATATCGTAAGAAAATGAAACAAATATGAGCGTCTATTGGTGTGGCTGCCTCTGGGGTGGGCGGCCATTGGGGTAAACACAATGAGAGGGTCATTAGTCTTTCTCCCTGACCAGTCATACAACATACACTGGCAGCCAACAAGGAATTAGTCTACAGTATGTAATTCCCCCTTGTTCCTTATGCTATGTTAACCCTTAGGCCCCGGGTGACCTTCCAGAATGTCCGCCTATTTTCCCGCCAATTTTTTTATTTTATTATTATTTTTGGAAAAGTTGATTTTGTTCTCAATTTAACCCCATAGGAGGGGGGGGGGGGGTGTTACTGCCAGCAGCACCCTAACCCGGGGCTTAAGGGTTACCGCTCTTCTGGGATAACCTCTACAGCACAGACAAACACATTCACTCAATGCTCACTTAACCTATTTAGTAATTTATTTTCCACTACAATTTGCTTCTGGCTCTATTATAACTCCACCTTTACTGTATTTTCTTATCTGACTCATGGTTATCACGGTCTAACACGCTCTCAGGCTATAGCAGCAGTAATTATAATCTTTATTTACTCTTTACCTTGTGTCATATTTATTCATTACACAGTGAAACCTTTATCTAATGGACAATATAGGGAGGACGGTCCGTTTTATCGAGGGTCTGTTACATGTGAGACCCCCAGCTAAAGGATTGTATGGAGAAAAGTTCGTTTATGGAGGTCTCACTAAACAGAGACCTCTATAAATTGTACATCTGGGGGTGGGGGTAATTTTTGTCTTCTGTCTTCAGCAACATAAGACATGAAGAATTACACAATGTTTACCTATTGTCCATTCCAATCTTTTTATTTATATTCCCATTTCTCCAACATAAACACTACCATGTGACAGTACAATAGTTAGTTCCAATATTATGACTATAAATTGCTCTACCTTACTGTTGGCTTGAACAGCTTGCAACATTCTCTGCATAACTTCCCGTTGCTTGCTGATAATCTCTGTTAACTCTTCATAAGTCGCTTCGTTATACTTGGTTTCTGCGCTCTGATTCAGTTGCTCTTGCCCGCACGTTACTTCCTCCACATCTAGGAATTATAAGAGCAGCTTCATGAAGTGTAACTCTAATGTACAGTACAGTACAGTACAGTACAGTACAGTACAGTACAGTACAGTACAGCACAGCACAGTACAGTACAGTACAGTACAGAACAGTACAGTACAGTACAGAACAGAACAGTACAGTACAGTACAGTACAGAACAGAACAGTACAGCACAGCACAGCACAGCACAGTACAGAACAGTACAGCACAGTACAGAACAGAACAGTACAGCACAGTACAGTACAGTACAGTACAGTACAGTACAATACAGTATTATTCCTACTCACACACAGATGGAAGAGAAAAGGTACATGCACACACCCACTGTGTTTGTGTAGACACAGTACTTGTAGCTGTTGTCTTAGCCCCTTCCTACACTTGTCTTGCTCAGGTGCTGTAGCCCGTCATCCACCCAACATTAACGTGACAGAGAAGTACAGTACAGTACATAAAGAAACAATGAGACAACAGTAACCAAGTCAGAGACTCCCTTCATCTTCCACTTGCCTTGAGTGCAGTGATCTACATGGGGGGTCGTCTATGAGGGAGCCCCCCACCCAGGCATTTCCTCGGGGGGGAGAGAATATCTACGGGGCAGAGAAAGTTTTAATCATTTGGTATTAATAAATCTGACTGTTGGGTTTTAACATAATAGCTTTAATAAATGAAAAACTGTCACCTTTTGGTTTGTTTTAGTAGGACTCAGTTTAGTGTTTTAAATATAAAGAATAAGATCGCCTAAACCAGCCTGTGCAGATTAACGGTTCCCGGCAACCTGACTCTGTCCAGACTCTGGGTCAGACAAGTAAATTTTTGTGTCCAAGTGGTCGGCGGACAAGTTAATATTTTAAGAGAAAAAAATCTAGAAGGAATTTGCCACTTGCCACAAGACTCCGCCTCACTGTGAGTTAATGAGCCGCTTGTTATCAGTGTACAGTCAACCCACACTTTACGCGGTCCCACATTCCGCGTTTCCACGTTTACGCGGTACCCTGCCGAAACCGGGATGCTCACATTCCGCGGTGCGTGTACCCCTTTACGCAGAGAGTGTCCGGCTCGACGCTATTTTTAGATTCGCCCCTCCTGCCTGCTCCCGCCTCCGCCTGGCCAAGCCGCGCTGTAAGGTTGCGCAGTGCATGTCTCTGTTGCGTTATCAGTGACGTCATATGACGTATCGGACTGTGATTGGCCACGCATCCCAACCTCCCTCCGCTGCTAGCTGTAATTGGTTTATAGTAATACAGTGAGTTCTGCTATAACGCGTGTTTTGATAACGCGAATTTGCTCTTACGCGATTTATGAATTAGGAACGATATTTGTATAACGAGAACGCTTGTTTGCTATAACGCGATTTTTGCTTACCATTTCTCCAATTTTGTGGTATTAACTGTGAATATGGTAAAGAAGAATATCTCCAAGAAGCGTTCTGGTGATAAAATTCCCGGTGATGATCGTAAAAGAAAGGATATAACCCTTGAAGAGAAGCTCGATGTTATTAACCTCAAAATCACCCTTCTCCCCCATCAAGTTACATTCATATTTTTTCAAGGTAAAGTGTTACATTTACTGTATGATTTCATTATTAGATATGAATGTAACATTTATTTAGACTAACATCCTTTGTGTTAGGCTAACTACTAAATTTTTTCGATTTCGAGTAATCTGCACCTAACCCTATTTTCTCCATAAGCCCTGTTATTTCTATTACGCGATTTTCTATAACACGATATTTTACAAGAACACAATTATCGCGTTATAGCAGAACTACCTGTATGACGTGTCCACCCGGGGGAGGGAGGGAGGGAGGAAAGACGAAGCTTGACCTAGCCGCGGCAGTTTCATCCCTCCAGGCCACACCATGTAAACGTGCATCCATTGTTCTGTAAAATGGCTTCCGCTGGACCACCGCCCCCAGAGAGAAACCTTTCCTTACCTGGACCCAGCCGCCCTAAGCCCAAGAAGACACGACGTTCCTTAAGCTACGAGGCGAAGTACAAGATCATCCAAGAGTTAGAGAAAGGAACAAGACAGGTTGATTTGGCGCGCCAGCATGGTGTAAACGAATCTACGATCCGGACGATAAAGAAGGATGCAGCCAAGATAAAGGAGCACATGAAGATCACAAAGTCTACAGGTGCTTCTATGATCAAGTATTTCCACAACCAGGTGCTTCTCAAGACAGAAAAATTACTTGTGAGCTCCTTGGTGCATCAGGCGAGATGGAACATGGCGGTCGACACGCGCTCTGTTAAGGAGTACGCACGTGAACTTTATGCTGCAGTGTCACGAAAGATGGGAATTACAGAGCTCAAACCCTTTAATGCTTCCTCTGGGTGGTTACAGAGGTTTAAGATGCGTAACAAGATCACCAATATCAACATTGGTGGTGAAGAAGCGAGTGCTGACCGTGCTGCAGCTCGGGAATTTCCTCCTTTTTTACGTGAGATTATGGAGGAAGGACAGAACACCGATGACCAGGTGTTTAACATGGACGAATCTGGTCTTTTTTTGAAAAAGCTACCTTCCAAGACCTTCGTTGTGAAGAATGCCAGCAAGATTCGGGGCCGGAAGTTGCAGAAGGAGCGCATCACCGTCCTGTTTACCACCAATGCCTCCGGTACCTGTAAGCTCAAGTTATCGGTGATCCACACAGCACGCAAGCCGCACGCCTACAAGTGCATGGACATGACCAAGCTAAATGTCCACTGGCTGACCGCACGTAAGGCGTGGATGTTCTCTACACTGTCCCTCTCCTGGTTTGATGACTGTTTCGTTCCCGATGTAAAGAAATTCTGTGAGCAACAGAATGTGCCATTCAAGATTTTGTTGCTGCTGGACAACGCACCAGGACACTCGCCCCTACTGTTAGATCGTCACCCCAACGTAAAAGTGGTCTTCCTTCCTCCCAACACTACGTCTATATTACAGCCCATGGACCAAGAGTTAATCTGTAATGTAAAAGCTGCATTCTCAACAAAAAATTCAAGCTCCTGAACGACTACACCAACACCAGGGAAGAGTTGCGTAACCTGAGTGACACCACCACCGATAGCAAGAGCGAAGAAGATGAGGATCAACAGTTGGCACAGCAAAAAATACTTTTCAAACAATTCTGGAGAGTATTTAACATCAAGAAAGCTGTGGACTTCTTGGTGGAGTCATGGGATCAGCTGTCTATTGCTACAATTCGTCACGCATGGAGACATGTGTTGCATGGAATACCAGGTGAGAGGAGGAGTCAATCTGTGACTGGTGAGGTTCAGACTGTTGCAGTAGCAGTGGACCTTGCCAGAGAAGCTGCGCAGAGTGTTACAGCTGCAGGCTTCTCCGAGACCACCAACGATGACATCCTGGAGGTGATAAGGGATCCTGATGTGACTACCGACAAGATGGTAGATGATGATGACGTCAGTGAAGAGGCAGGTGGTGCGTCATCCCAAGAAGAACACCGCTTATCCCATAGTAATGTAAGGGGTGCCATCGAGTGTATCGAGAAAATCAAGCTCCTCCTTTCAGACGACCCTGACGCAAACAGGTATGAAATCTTCACTACCCAGCTGTTGCAGACTATGGAGCCCTACATCAAGGTGTATCACGACAACATAAACACCAGCCGTCAGCAAAGCATAACAGAGTTCTTCGCCCGCAACCCACCACAGCCAGCCCAAGCCAGTGATAGTGACAGAGGTAGAGACAGTGAAGATGACTTTGAGGGATTTGTCAGGGAGGCCCTGACAAGTGTGGGTGACAGTGATGGTGACTCACCTGAGGGCCAGTAGCCTGCCCTCTGCCTCAGAACCAGCCGCCATCCCCGTATGCCGACCCATCTCTTCTACTAACGTAAGTGTTCCACCTAAGTTTTAGTTTTCCTAACCTAACCTTTATTTTTCCTAACCTAACCTCTTCTATATTAATTGTTTGTTCATACCATCATATAGTTAAGATAAAATTTTTACTACAACATAGTTGTGTGTCGTCAAAAAGTGGAGTTTGGGGGTCGGCCCGGTCTCTATTTCAATTAATCCCATATGTTATGTTGTTCACTTTACGCGTTTCTCACTTTCCGCGGTACCCTGTGGGTTATATTAACCGCGTAAAGTGAGGGTTGACTGTACTAGGATTACCGACCCATGACAGGTGCAGGTAACTTATCTCTACATTAAGCCTCTGTCTAGTCAGTCTGTGTCAAGTTGTCAAAGGAACCACCAAGCTGAGTAGATGACACACCAGTTATGACTTCACATGACAAGGGTTACTGCCACTGTGATGACACACCAGTTATGACTTCACATGACAAGGGTTACTGCCACTGTGATGACACACCAGTTATGACTTCACATGACAAGGGTTACTGCCACTGTGATGACACACCAGTTATGACTTCACATGACAAGGGTTACTGCCACTGTGATGACACACCAGTTATGACTTCACATGACAAGGGTTACTGCCACTGTGTTCATACACAAATTAAATGTGAATATTTTAAAATGTTTATCTAACTTTTACCATAACAAATTTGGGCAAGCAAATTTCCTTCAAAAATTTGTCAAGACAAGTACAGTACCAGTATATTTCAGGTCACCTGCCTAGGTCAAGTACATAATGTGCACAGCCTGGCCTAAGCCTAACCTAACCCCCAGGTAGTGTTAGTGTTTAATCATCAGGTGTAATAAACTGGGGTGGATAATCTTCAAGTGATCCAAAATATTTCTGATTATATACAAGTTTCAGGTATAAAAATTAACACAATAATTCCAAATATATAAACAAAACTGATGTGAAGTGATGACCCCCCTCACCTTGAACCAGGGGGGGGGGGGAGGAGAAACGGCAGACACCAAGGCTTATAACCAAATTCAATAACACGACTTTGAAATACCCCGACTTATTCACAATCTACACCAAGTGAGACTCTCCACCTCTACATGCTTCTTCACTTTTATATTCAATTCAGTTCTTCTCAACATGAACCACAGTGTCTCCAAGTGATTCTCCCGGTCAAGAGATTATGACATGATATATTATCTCCATATTGTCTCTCTCTCTCCTTCCATACACATCAACACACACTAAGTATTCTCTCTCTCTCTCTCTCTCTCTGGCTTTATGATGACTTAACCCTTCAGTATGATGACTTACGAGTAGGTCATCGTACTCGAGGTGTTAAGACAGGCACAGGGGGGGGTGTACAAGATAGCAGACCCCAAGGAAGAGAAACACCCACAGAATAACACTGGTGGGTATCAAATGACGGCACATAAGAGGGTGAGGCAGTCTCCAAACCCTCTCCAGCGCCATCACTAGTGCGGGGACTGACTGTGAATAATAAATCCTCTTAAATGAACCACTAGAGCTTGAACACCACAAGCAATAAGGATCAGCTGTCATATTTATTGGCCAGATCTTTAACATTTATTCCAATTTATATAAAAGATGTGGTTGAAAGTTAAACAACTTACTGAGCAAAAGGTTAACCAAATTTGAACATGAAATGAAAAAAAATTGCTATTAGTGTATAAACAATAAAATAGCATATTGTGGTGCATAGTGAAATATCTGGAGGCATGTTAACCTCAACTTATGTTAATAGAATATTTCGTATTATTATGTGTGAGCAGCGCTGGTACATGATACATAATGTTTCTTTTATGTATGTTGGTATTTCTGCAGCTTAATGTTGGAGTTGATTAATATTAGTGTAAGGTTTGTAGTCCCCTGGAGTATGGAGCTATGTCAGTCACTGGCCGTGGGAGTAGGAGGACGTCCCAGTTTGTCAGCGGTGGATACCTTTTTCAAATAGGGTTTAGTTGAGTATTATATTCAGTGCTGTTCTATTATTATCCATGGTGTGTGAAGAGCAATCAATTATTGTCTTGCGAGGTGGTTTATTGTTTATGAACGGTGCCAATACAGGTTGTACTTCTCTAGTCCGGCAACCTCAGGGCCTGACCGGTGCCGGACCATGGAAATTCACCCTTTTCCTGGTTAGATAGTGACTTGTGCTTATGCCTGGAAGCACTAGCACCACTTTCTCTGCGTCATGGTCTCTTTGAAGACATATTGAAGGGTTAAATGTCGTATAGTAGCTTCTCAAATTTCGCGAATTTTTAATTCTTAACGTATTTTATTGGAACACACAAAAAATAAATAAATAAAAATTTTGACGGCGGAAACTTGAATTTCGACGGGTTTGAACGGCCCGCCAACGTGCAGACGACGTGCATAATCGTGTAAACAGCGTCATTTCTCTTATGTACAAAAGATTCATTATTGTTTATTACTGAATGTCTTTTTTATTGAATTAATGTTTGTGTGCAAAATGAGCAATACAATTCATTAATAATACGTAGAAAATTAAAACACACGAGGAAATGAGACAGCATTGTTTTCGTTGATTACAAAACCAGTGACTGACTGGTTCTACATATAAAACTGAAGAAAATAAGACCTTAGTTGTAGCTGTAGTAAAATTAATATGGTTGTTTTAAGTAATGTTATTTAATGTTAATAAATGGAACAATAGAAGTAGCTAACGATAATGGTAAAGAAAAAAGAGAGATCGCATATGTAAGTGCGCACACGTGAAAACATATCGTCATTACTTTACACAAGAATATGAAAGCAACACTTATTTACTGTTCATATATATTTTAATTAATGTTTCTGAATTTGTTTTTATTGAATTAATGTACGTGTGTGCAAAATTAACAATACAATTTATTAATAATACGTGGAATATTAGAGGAGACGAGACGGCTGCCGGCATTGTTTATGTTAAAGCTTACGAAACCAGTGACTGATTGGTTCTACATATAAAACTGAAGAAAATAAGACCCTGAGTTTAGCTGTAGTAAAATTAATGTAAAAAATGAATATGGTTGCTTGAAGTACCTGTAATGTTATTTAATGTTAATAAATGGAACAATATAAGTAGCTAACCATTAATGGTAAAAAAAAAGTGAGACTGCTCGTATGTAAGTGCGCACATGTGAAAATATATCGTCATTACTCTACATAAGAATATGAAAGCAACACTTATTTACTGCTCATATATATTGAAGGGTTAAATGTTGTACTCTGTATAGACAAGCAGAGAGAGAGAGAGAGCAGCCGAACTGCCGGATGTAAACAAACCTTAATTTCCCGCGGCTTTTTTTTTTTAAGGGATTAGCCCACCCGGGCATAGGTCACTGACCCACATTGGGGCCTGAGGGGCAAAAATTTAATACTCCTGTAATAATAATAATAATAATTCAGATAAAAAAAAAAAAAAAAAGAAAGAAAAGCTGCCTATCTACCTATTGGACAAACTAAAATCATTCCGGACCACGGGAGTTTCCGGACCACAGAATGCCGGACTACAGAGGTACAACCTGTAGTAGTTGTTTATTAAGGATCATGTTTATTATTTATTCTCTTGATTTAATTTATCTTATGGAACCTACACACTTATTATGGTAAACTTTTGTTATTTGATTGTATTTAAATCCTTCGTGATGTGTATAATACCAAACCTTCTCTCCTGAACTGTTGTGATAAAGAGAGGACTGTGGTTGAACCCATGACCAAGATGTGTGGAGTTGCCACTTTGTTTTTGTGTCATATGTGGCCTCATTAGTGTACAGTATTAATCTTTAACATAATTCAAGTTAATAAATTATGGCATAACAATATCATAAAATACAATAGCACATAATATTTTATACACCAGAAATAGCTCCTTCCACACTCATACCATCCTGAGGCAACACAGTTCAGCCAGACTGTCACCAGATGACTCACAGATGTGTGGCTGCTGTGCTGTGTATATACCATGACCTCACAGGGAGTGCGGCCACACATACACACCTATGCTCTTCATTGGTCGTATTTTCTAGTTTTATATTTTATTTATTTCTAAGCCACATCGTTTACATAGAGTGAAGTAAGTGTTAAGGAAGTCTGTTTTCTGCAAATCAGTGCATTTTGACGAGTGGTTAAATTTTAAAACAATGATATTTGTTCTCAAATAAGGACCGACAAGTGATAAACACACTAATTGGGGAACGCTCCTGAAAATGCACGGATTTGAGGTCAGCCTGTAGCACTGTAGGATTTATTGGGGGACCCTAAGAGTGTGGATAACCTAACCGGAAGATATCTTTATCCGTCACCTCTCATAGGTGCCGGATAACTGGGGTTCTACCGTATAATTTAAACTCGGATGCCCTCACCTGAAGATCAAACACCCTACATTATTTCACCCGTGGATTAACCACCCTAATACTAGCTGTGGGCTGGGATTAGATTAAGTTACCATTAGGGTGGTTAATGTTCAGGTGATCCAAACCTTAAATGTACTGTATTATGATAGTGTTAACACCTACTGTACATGTCTATAGCTGTACTTATAGGCGTGTAAGATAACATTCTTAACACAATTAAAGCCACTACTGTATTCCTTCTATTGCAACAAGAGTAAACACAGAGCAGTACTCACCATACATAAGCAAGGAGTCCTCATCTAAGACAGGTTTCATATAACAATTACTCTCCCACTTGATCTTGTCTTCGCCGAATAACTTGTCCGGTCGCGGCCGTTCCCCTCGAATATAATTAACCAGTTTGATGTAACCGATTTGATCTAAATTAAACTTGCACACGAAGGCAACAAAGTCGAATCCGTGTGCGTCAATCATGTGCGCAAAGGCGACCTGTACGGAGGATAACACGTCGCCACAGAACAGACACAGTGTTTTCCCGATGACGACTTCTTCCATTTCCTCCCAGTCTTCTTCCTCTTCTTCGTCGTCGTCCGAACATTCATTTCTACACGTCATTTTTTCTGGAGGCGACGAGTTATTAACACGAGAGGTACGAGTTGGCGGCGGCGAGGTGTGAGGCCGGTCGTCGTCGTCCTCGAGGGCAGGCATGTCCTCACAGTCAGACATGGCACAACTTTTCTCTCTGCCGGAGGAGTAAATGTTATTAATAAAACATACATTGTTTTGGTGATATGATGTGTGGCCCAAGTAAAGGAGTCATTACTAGCCAACGAAATATTGTGGGTCAGAGAATATGACTCCTGAAATATTGGCTACCAGTAAGTAAGAACAATTACTCTGTAGACTTTTAATGAAACAATGTTATATTATACAAAGGTGATCTATTATAATGTACTAACACTTTTGTGAGCGCACCTAAATATATACAGTACCACAACCTACAACACTCTTCAATAACAACAGACATTTTTGTGGATTGTAGCCATCTCCTACACTGAATGAAATCATCAAGGAAATACTTCGTTCCACAGATGGTATACTGTACAGTACATACAGTAGTAAACCTATGGAGCAGTCTACCAGCTCAAGCTGTAGAAGTTGGGGGGTCAGTACCGTACTGGGCTACACAATAGCCCTTAACAAGACTATCAAGAACAATGAAGGATCAGTCCTACGCTGACCTCCATCCCTTGGCTTGGTCACCTCTAGTTGGGGTCACCATTAGGTATATAAATAAAGTAGGTAAAAATGCTTTATATTATTAAACTTTGACAATAATGTACCTTGTTGTCGTCCATCTTGTGCACGTTAGACTAAACACAAATGGGTGAAGGTTGTTTATAACCATTTCTTAATGTTTAACTTATAATTACCATCACTTAACATTGAGGCATTTGGTCTGTTCTTATAGCCTTTATTGTCCAGTGTCAGTACAGTACAGGAGACACACTGGATCACTACAGTACTGTGTCCTGGGTCTGGGACACAGTACTGTAGGAGTGGTCAGAAAAATGGCAAATGAAATTCAACACCAGCAAGTGCAGCGTACTTAATATTGGAAGAGAAAATACTGTCAATGTATACAGCCTTAACAACATCAACCTAGAGAGGTTGACTTGTGAAAGAGACCTAGGGGTACTCGTAAGACTGGACCTAAGGCCTACAAAACAGTGCGTTAATGTTCGAAATAAGGCAAACAGAGTATTAGGTTTTATATCTAGAAGTGTAAGTAATATGAGTGCGGAGGTCATATTGTAACTATATCTGGCGCTAGTCAGGCTGCACCTCGATTATGCTGTTCAGTTCTGGTTCCCTTATTATAGAATGGATATAAATTCACTGGAGTCGGTGCAGCGAAGAATGACGAAAATGATTCCGGGACTTAGAAACCTTCCATATCAGGATAGATTAAAGAAACTAAACTTGCATTCCCTAGAAAGACGAAGAGTGCGGGGAGATATGATAGAAGCATTTAAGTGGGTAAAAGGAATTAATAAAGGGGATATAGATAAAGTTCTTATAATAACCGAGCAGGATAGGACTCGTAGTAACGGATTTAAGTTGGATAAGTTTAGGTTTAGGAGGGAGATAGGAAGGAACTGGTTCACAAATAGGGTGGTGGACGAGTGGAACCAGCTTAGCAACTTTGTAGTAAGTGCTGGAATGCTGGAAAGTTTTAAAAGGAGGCTGGATAGATTCATGGATGATAGAGTGGTTGTAACTCTCGACAGGAGCTGCCATGCACAGGCCAACCGGCCTATTGCAGACTCCTTATGTTCTTATGTAATGTACTGTAGTGAGACACACGGGATAACACCTTCTTACTTCTCATTATTTTTTATGGAAACTCTATAGTGTTTTCATTCTCCCTATATAAGACTCAATATATAAGTATGTGTTCGCAACTTTAAATATTTACCAGAGCGCATTCACAGTAAAATAGCGTAAGTAGGAACATAGTCGGTCATGGCATAATATCTACAGCGGAGGGTGAAAAAGTTTTTATATTCATGGGGACTACCAAAGGCCTCCCCCCCCCCCCGTCGATGCAATGAATTGTTCCTAAGGTCCCAATAGGAAACCCGATCCAACAGGACTACCTTGGGGTCCATAGACGTCTCTAAATAATCACACACGATGGTGATCACAACTGGTCAGGTGGTGTAACGACTGTGCATATGTCCCAGGAAGAAGTATTTACACATTTGGAAATTTTTTGGATAATGACCATCTGCTGTTTTTCATGGTAACTGGGTTAAAAAATACCCAGTTAACACTTATTTTATTCAGATAATATAGTGTTATGAAACAATATAAAAATGGATGAAATTATGTGCTCGCCTAACCTAACCTGACCCAACCTATATCTTAACTCTCCTATGTCTATAAAACTCAATATTTACACAATAAAAATGAATAGAAGTGAAAGTAATCAGCATACAAAACTGTGTCTAAAAACATCCCCATAAGAACATAAGAACATAAGATAATAAGGAGTCTGCAATAGGCCGGTTGGTCTGTGCATGGCAGCTCCTGTCGAGAGTTACTACCACTCTCTATCATCCATGAATCTATCTAGCCTTCTTTTAAAACTTTCCAGCGTTCCAGCACTTACTACAAAGTTGCTAAGCTTGTTCCACTCGTCCACCACCCTATTTGTGAACCAGTTTCTTCCTATCTCCCTCCTAAACCTAAACTTATCCAACTTAAATCCGTTGCTCCGGGTCCTATCCTGCTCGGATATTATAAGAACTTTTTCTATATCTCCTTTATTGATTCCTTTTACCCACTTAAATACTTCTATCATATCTCCCCGCACTCTTCGTCTTTCTAGGGAATGCAAGTTTAGTTTCTTTAATCTATCCTGATATGGAAGGTTTCTAAGTCCCGGAATCATTTTCGTCATTCTTCGCTGCACCGACTCTAGTGAATTGATATCCATTCTATAATAAGGGCACCAGAACTGAACCGCATAATCGAGGTGCGGCCTGACTAGCGCAAGATATAGTTGCAATAAGACCTCTGCACTCTTATTACTTACACTTCTAGATATAAAACCCAATACTTATTTCGAACATTAACGCACTGTTTTCTAGGCCGTAGGTCCGGTCTTACAAGTACCCCTAAGTCTCTTTCACAAGTCGACTTCTCTAGGTTGATGTTGTTAAGGCTGTATACATTGACAGTATTTGTTCTTCCAATATTAAATATGCTGCACTTGCTGGTGTTGAATTTCATTTGCCATTTGTCAGACCACCCCTGCAGTTTATTTAGATCCTCCTGTAATGCATTTGCATCATGCCCTGAATTAATTTGCCGCCCTATTTTGGTGTCATCCGCAAAGTTGCTTATGTCACTGCTGATCCCAGTATCTAGATCGTTTATGTAGATTATGAACACGAGTGGGCCTAGTACTGACCCCTGGGGAACCCCAATGGTTACACGGCCCCACTCAGATTTAACACCATCTACGCTGACCCTCTGCGTTCTATCGGTGAGCCATGATTTTATCCAATTTAAAACTTCCCCACGATACCATGAGCCTTTATTTTTCTCAGAAGCCTCTGATGCGGTACTCTATCAAATGCTTTGCTAAAGTCCAAGTAAATAACATCGTAATTTTCGTCATTATCTACTACCTCGAAGACTTTCCTAAACAACGTCAGCAGATTACCGAACCGCTGACGGACACGAGTCGTATATTAGCCACACACTTCCCCCCATCTTCAAAGGCCCGCCCACTGTGCAAATCTTGGTCATATCTCCTAACCTAACCTAACATTAGCGCCAGAAATAAAGGTCATATATACATAAACAAATTTACACCGAAAACATTCATGTTCTATGGTGAAATGTCCTTTGTTAAGTACAGTAGTTAACCCTCTTCAGGATATTCTCACTTATTCAGCTGAGAGAACCCCTTGTTACTTAAGGCCAAGGGCACTGGTCTGCGGAGGAAAGTTACCCTGTGGGCCAGTTAAAACTTCCCTGGCAGGTCGTGATGTCTGCCACTTTACTTAATCGGTGGTAAAGTGTAAAATAATTAGTGGTAGACAAGATGACCCCACGACCTGCCAGGAAAGTGTTAACTGGCCCACAGGATAACTTTCATCTATACTGTACACAAATGCCACTGCCTACACACCTTCGGTTCTCCTCTCCGAACCACCACCAAATACTTTAATTACAAGAGACTATACCATGAAGGACTATAGTGAGGCGACTACCATGAAGGAGTATAGTGAGGCGACTACCATGAAGGACTACAGTGAGGCGACTACCATGAAGGACTATAGTGAGGCGACTACCATGAAGGACTACAGTGAGGCGACTACCATGAAGGACTATAGTGAGGCGACTACCATGAAGGACTATAGTGAGGCGACTACCATGAAGGACTACAGTGAGGCGGCATGAAGGACCGACTACCATGAAGGACTATAGTGAGGCGACTACCATGAAGGAGTATAATGGGGCGACCATGAAGGACTAACAGTGGGCGACTACCATGAAGGACTACAGTGAGGCGACTACCATGAAGGACTACAGTGAGGCGACTACCATGAAGGAGGTACAGTGGCGACTACCATGAAGGACTATAGTCGTGCTACTAACCTCCAGAGCTATAGTGAGGCGACTACCATGAAGGACTATAGTGGTGCTACTAACCCTCCAAGAGCTATAATGGGCGACTACCATGAAGGACTATAGTGGGCGACTACCTGAAGGAGTATAAGGCGACTAGGACTACAGTGAGGCGACTACCATGAAGGACTATAGTGAGGCGACTACCATGAAGGACTATAGTGGTGCTACTAACCTCAAGAGCTATGGTGAGGCGACTACCATGAAGGACTATAGTGAGGCTATGGGCGACTACCATGAAGGACTACAGTGAGAGGCGACTACCATGAAGGACTATAGGTGCTACTAACCCTCCAAGAGCTATAGTGAGGCGACTACCATGAAGGAGTATAGTGAGGCGACTACCATGAAGGATAGTGAGGCGACTACCATGAAGGACTACAGTGAGGCGACTACCATGAAGGACTATAGTGGTGCTACTAACCCTCCAAGAGCTATAGTGGGGCTGAAAGGAGTATAGTACTACATGAGGACTAGAGTGGCGACTACCATGAAGGACTGGACTACATGAAGGACTGGGCGACTACCATGAAGGACTACAGTGGGGCTACTAACCCTCCAAGAGCTATAGTGAGGCGACTACCCTATGAGTGATACTGCTACTCACCCTCCAAGAGCTATAGTGAGGCGACTACCATGAAGGACTATAGTGGTGCTACTCACCCTCCAAGACTATAGTGGTGCTACTACCATGAAGGACTATAGTGAGGCGACTACCATGAAGGACTATAGTGGTGCTACTCCTCCAAGAGCCCAAGAAGGACTACTATAGTGAAGGACTACGTGACCCTCCAAGAGCATGATGAAGGACTATAGTGGTGCTACTCACCCTCCAAGAGCTATAGTAGGCGACTACCATGAAGGACTATGGTGCTACTCACCTCAAGAGCTATAGTGAGGCGACTACCATGAAGGACTATAGTGGTGCTACTCACCCTCCAAGAGCTATAGTGGGGCGACTACCATGAAGGACTATAGTGGTGCTACTCACCAGAGCTATAGTGGTGCTACTATGAAGGACTATAGTGAGGCGACTACCATGAAGGACTATAGTGGTGCTACTCACCCTCCAAGAGCTATAGTGAAGCGACTACCATGAAGGACTATAGTGGTGCTACTAACCCTCCAAGAGCTATAGTGAGGCGACTACCATGAAGGACTATAGTGGTGCTACTCACCCTCCAAGAGCTATAGTGAGGCGACTACCATGAAGGACTATAGTGAGGCGACTACCATGAAGGACTGCGGGAAGTGGTGCTACTCACCCCCAAGAGCCAAGGCAGTGAAGTGACTACCATGAAGGACTTAAAAGTTACTCACCCTCCAAGAGCTATAGTGAGTAGCATTTACCATGAAGGACTATAGTGAGGCGACTACCATGAAGGACTTTAGTGGTGCTACTACCATGAAGGAATTATAAAAGAGTATCACCATGACAATTTAGAAAAGCACATGCAATTTCCATGAAGGACTATAGTGGTGCTACTCACCTCCAAGAGCTATAGTGAGGCGACTACCATGAAGGGACAGAAAGGTGCTACTTACCCAAAGGAGCTTAGTGCAGAGGCGACTACCATAGGGCTGACCTATAAAGTGGTGCTACTACATGAAGGACTATAGTGGTGCTACATGTAAGTGACTATAGTGAAGCGACTACCATGAAGGACTATAGTGGTGCTACTCACCCTCCAAGGACTATAGTGAGGCGACTACCATGAAGGACTATAGTGGTGCTACTCACCCTCCAAGAGCTATAGTGAAGCGACTACCATGAAGGACTATAGTGAAGCGACTACCATGAAGGACTATAGTGAGGCGACTACCATGAAGGACTATAGTGGTGCTACTCACCCTCCAAGAGCTATAGTGAAGCTGTTGTTGTGGCCATGAGGTGACACTGTACTGTATGTTACAACACTACCACGACCATTACAGCTGAGGTATTGTATGTTACAACACTACCACGAACATTATAGCTGAGGAATTTATTTTTTTATAAGAGTAAAAGAAGCTAAATATATTTATTATTTAAGATAAAATCATATTATAATTTAGATGTTAATTATATTTAAATAAAGTTAGGATATATTAAGATGTTGTGTTTCAATAAATATTAATAGGTATAGCCATTGGTTGTAGTACTTTCTCAACATAATAGGTATAGCCATTGGTTGTAGTACTTTCTCAACATAAACTCCCCAGTGATCAAGTCATAGTTTGTTAAGGTATGACTCTCCCTCTACACCTACTTTACTTAACTATACACATTTATAATATACAATTAAACCACATGAAAACTTCTCTATTAATACCTAGACATAACCAACTATCTATATAAATTTCAGTTGGAAAATATTAAAAATAAATTAAATATATATATATACAGTCTGTTTAAAATTCTAGTATTATAATTCTATATATTATTTAAATTTAAGAATTATTATTTATATCCATACAATTAGATTTAATGATGTATAAAAGGTAAAGGGAAGGTAGTCATTAAGGCCAACCAGAGACCCAGGACCACCTACCTTGTTAATGGCTCTATGGTCATCAGTCATAACTAATGTAATTTATCTTGCGGTAATTATCCCATGATATTGTGGTAGAGAATTAATTAACATTTACCTCCTGTTGAAAATAAACTCCAGTGAATAATTGGTATATAATTTTTATTTGATGTTTTTCTTATCTTATCTCAATATTTCACTTCCTATTACCAGTAGTTAACATTTATGTGTTTGTTTTTTATGATGTTTATGTAAATTAAATATACTATGTAATATAACTGGTGAGGTAATGTTGAAATAACACTGATTTTATTAACTATCATTGGTTAAATCGCCTTTACTGTACTGTATATAAATTATTATTATTATTATTATTATTATTATTATTATTATTATTATTATTATTATTATTTCAGGTAAAACCACATCAAACACCATCAGAAAAATATATCAACCTAACCTAACCTAACCTAACCTAACCTAACCTAACCTACCTCAACCTAGCCTAACCTAACCAAACTTGCTCTGACCTAACCTAACCTAACCTAACATGAACTAACCTAACCAAAATTTATATGACCTAACCCAACCAAATATGACCTAATCTAACCTGACCTAACCAAACTTTGACATGACTTAACCTGACCAAACTTAACCTGACCTCACCAAACTTGACCTGACCTAACCTGACCTGATGTAACCCGACCTAACCAAACTCTGACCTGACTTAACCTGACCTAACTTAACCTAACCAAACTCTGACCTGACTTAACCTAACCTTATCAAACTCTTATTCTTGTATGGACACATTATGGTTGTGTTAATATTTAGTGTTGTGAACTGAGTTAATACTACAGGCTGTAACATGGAAGACGACCTCCTGTGTCTCAGATGGAGGGATCACCTCTCTACCCTCTCCCACATGCTTCCTGCTATAAGACAAAGGGTCAGTAAAGTACAGTAATTAGTTAGTAGAGTTATACAGGGGTCCTCGTTATAAGTGGTTAATGTCAACCAGATAAAGGCCACTCATAATGAAACACTTATAAAGGGCAATTAATTCCCATTAGAATTAATAGTAATACTGTAATGTGTAATAGGAACAATCACGTTGTAGTTGACGCTCATAAAGAGTTTACTTTGGTATCTTTTAACACCTCAACCCGCCAGGATTCAAACCCACGGCCCACGAGCCCATGACTGTGACCACCTACGTGATACGGGTAGTCCCCCTTAGAGGTTCACGGCGCCATAAGCTCGTTAAACAGGCTTTGTGTGAAATATAACAGAGTCTAGGACTGCTTTTGTATCCTGGTGGTCCAGCGGTTAGCATTGTTAAATAATTTATTACACATTATTTTTTTATTATTTAACTTTACAACAACTTATTTAAAGTCCTAAAAGTTGCTTGGGGTCAGTGTGTTGATGTGGCACAAGTTACCTCACCACTCACACATCTCAGTAAAAGTGGTTCACTGAGACACTTACCACTTCTTATGATGTGTAACTTCTAATTTCACGTCCATCCTATACTACTGTACTACAGTGCAGGTGATAAGGATGACCTTTCACAGAGTGGGAGGCAGGCAGGAATTTCAATCACTCAAACACTTGTGATGATCAACAGATTTCAGCCTTAGAATACTCTTAACTGTGGGGAGTTGTTACATGTACCTCCACAATTATTTGACCACTTATAGAAGACACTCATAACGGGAACCCTCTACTGTACTGTGATCCCTCGGTTAACGAGCGCCTCGGTTAACGATTTACCTTCCATAAGATTCTTAACTTCGGTTAACGAGCAATCCCTCGATTAACGAGTTTTTTACGAGCCGACTTCAACGTGTTTTCGCTTGCATTTGGCGGTCCACCAGCTGTAGTATTAGTCCGCCAGTACAGTAATCGGTTTTAGGGCTTAAATTCTCTACTATTTTAGTAAATATCAAGAAGTTTATACTATTCAATAATTTTAAAAGTTTAATATTAACTTTTTTAGTCATTTTAACAATTATTGAACATAATTGAAGGTAAAGAAACTAGTTTCTGGCGTGCCATCCAGCCTGTTAACACACCAGACAGGCGTTAGTCTCTCTGTGTTTTCAGTGGAGGTAACATCTTGCTTGAGACTCTCTTCAACTTAACGCTTTTTTTCTGTTTCCAAGCAAATTATTGGTCATTTTGAAATTTATTTTACATATTGACAATATATAATGCAGTGCAGTGTTGATTTAAAGAAAATAATCTAGAATTACACCAAGAGAACTAAAATTTTATGGGTGAAATGGCACCATGGGGTGACTTCTCTTCCACTCCAACGCCTTCTCTTCTCCGTTCTCCTCCACCCCCACTTCTAATTCCCATCATCATCAACCAGGAACCTTCTACATACACACCTCAAAGTAAGTGTACTTTACTGCATTTTTTTTTGCTTTGTATGTACTTTTCGGTGAGCTGGAACCAATTACCCAAAAACCCATTCAAACAATGGTTTCGGTTAATGAGTTTTTCGGTTAATAAGCAACCTGCTGGAACGAATTGTGCTCGTTAACCGAGGGACCACTGTAGTCCCTTCACTCAAACCTTCTAACTCAGGCCTAGGGTCAATTTGTAACAAGGCAGCTGATTGGTTGGCAGACGGGAAGAGTCACTACTGTATATAATGTACAGTGGTCCCTCGGTTAACGAACACCATTCGTTCCAGAAGGTCGTTCGTTAACAGAAAATTTCGTTAACCGAATCTATTATTTCAATGGGATATTGGTTAATTGGTTCCAGCTCTCCGAAAAGTACATACAAAGCAAAAAAAAAAATGCAGTAAAGTACACTTACTTTGAGGTGTGTATGTAGAAGGTTCCTGGTTGATGATTATGGGAATTAGAAGTGGGGGTGGAGGAGAACGGAGAAGAGAAGGCGTTGGAGTGGAAGAGAAGGGAGAAGAGAAGGAAGTGGGGGTGGAGGAGAAGGGAGAAGAAAAGCATTTTAATGCTTCTTGGAAGGCGAGTCACCTTCCATAATAATGTCAGGGACCTCTGGACTGACAGATTCTCTAACATGAAAATCCTCTCTCCTTCTTGAAGAGGAACACTGAGGGGAAGCATCTTTCTCACGCTGTCTTTTAAAGAAGAAGCTGTCAAGTGTTAGTAGTGTGGTATTTCCCCTGATCATTAGCTGGTTCTTGAAGGAGACCACTCTGTCCTCCGTGGCACACAACTTAGGTTCTGTTGTTTCCACATCTGGGCGCCTTGAAGCCAGTTTCCTGAACATCTCCCAGTAGTGAACAACATCTTTTAAGTCTGAAGAAGACATATGGTCATCACTTTCCTTTTCCTCCTCACCACTGTCAGCCTCTACCTGTAACATCTCATCCAGTTGCTTCAAGTCATCAGGAGTAAGTTCCTCCTCATGAGACATCACAAGCTCTTCTACATCCTCCTCCTCCACTTCAAGGCCCAATGACTGACCAATGGACACAATGAATTTTACAGTCTCCAGGATTTTGTATTGCGTCTTCCAGAACTGTGCTAGTGATAGATCAGGATCAGTGGAAGTTGCCTGATGACACTTTCTGAACATTTTCTTCATGTACAGCTTCTTGAAGTTGCTGATCACATTCTGGTCCATTGGCTGTATGATTGATGTAGTGTTGGGAGGCAAAAACAACACTTTGACAGTCAAATCGAGCCTCCAAAGTGCTCGCAAGTTGAGGGTCATGACCAGGGGCATTATCCATGAGGAGAAGAGCCTTTAAAGGGAGTTTATTGGTGGTTAGGTAGCTCTTGACAGAAGGGCAAAACACCTCAACAGCCCATTCATTAAAGAGTGGTCTCGTTACCCATGCCTTACTGTTGGACTTCCAATAAACTCCAAGCCGTCCTCTTACCACCTTTTGTTGATTGAACACCCTGGGGTTCTCAGAGTGGTAGACAACCATAGGCTTCAGTCGGAAATCCCCTGAAACATTGGCACCAAGCAATAGTGTGAGAAGGTCTTTCATGGGTTTATGCCCAGGTAAAGAGGCTTCATCTCTGGTGATGAATGTTCTTTTGGGCATTTTCTTCCTGAACAGCCCAGTTTCGTCCACATTGAATACTTGCTGTGGAAGATAATCCTCTTCATCCATCAGTTCCTTGAACTCTACTACAAATTTTTCAGCTCCTTTACCTGCACTGGCAGCTTCACCATGCCTAACAACACTAAAAATGGCAGCTCTTTTCTTAAACTTATCGAACCAGCCCTTGCTGGCCCTAAACTCTTCAAAGTCAGTTTCAGAAGAACTAGGTTGATCTTCCTTGAAATGTTCGTAAATTTCCCTGGCTCTTTCACAAATGAATTCAGTAGAAATTGAATCTCCTTTCATTTGTTTTTCCTTAATCCAAATGAGAAGTAACCTCTCTGTTTCTGCAATTAATGATCTACC